TGCGTCTTCATACCTCCTCCGTGCAGTTGAGTATTCCTTCTCTGCCCAAACATAGGCAGACTTGAGCTTTAAGAAGGCAGATTCAGCTCCTCCTCCAGATTTGTCTTCTTCAGTTAACAAGTGAACTCTTCTTCTTGCACGGGACATGTGAACATTCCCACAGTGGAACAAAGCCAGGGCAGCCATCTCCTGGAACTTTTCTCCAGCAGTAAGGAAAAGGTCTTGAGCTTCTTCACTTGTGACTATCTTTTCCATAGCCTCTGAGTAAAGGTGCTTCATCTCAACTCCTTGTAGCTCCAGATAAGTATCAAATTCGAATCCGACACAGTTCTTGAACAGTTCAGCAAAATGAACAATCCCGTCGTCAATACAAATTAATCTATTGTGCAAGTCCATACTTCTTCCGAGCTGATCTATGTTTTCCATTCTATGATTTTTTTTTGCTTTATGTTTCAGCTCATCATCTTCCCTAACCTTCCCAAATAAAGGATCTTGATCTGGAGTGACATCCACAATGTACAGCCTGACAGAATTGTGTTGAACAGATGATGATGCTTCTGCCCACCTTAACTCCTCACTTGATGTGATCGTTACCAAGTCACCCTCTTGGTCCCTATATTTCATTAGAAAAGATTTGGAGCTTGGGAACCGATCATGTATGATCTCCCTCAGTTCCATAATGCCACAATTGATAGGAATATGGGCACATCTTATGTCCTCCCCAAATATCAATTTCACCATTCGTCTAGATGTCTCATTTTCCAAGTCCTTATTAATTTCCTCAACAACCGATTTATCTTCAGTTTTTATCTCCCCAGCATCACTGTACCTGTCTTTATTTCCACTTCTTTCTTCCTCCGGTTTCTTTCGTTCTCTCTTGCCTCCACCATCCAGTACTTCGTTCTTGGCTTTATCCACATTTTTAATCTTGGCCTTCTGGACATGGAGCTCATCTTCTAAGTTCTTGTCACCACTACCTTTCACCTGAACAACCACCTGTTTGACCTTCTTTTCCTCACCTCTCTTATCCTTGGGATTCATAATTTTGTCAATCCCAAGAGCTCCTTTTTCAACTTTTGCCTTCTCAAAAGTCTTGTTATCTTGGGCCTCTTCTTCCTTCATCTCTACTTTGAAGCTTTTGTTCTTCCACGCCTTCTCTTTTGGAGAAGCTTTCAGAGAAGTGGAGACAACAGGCGGTTCAACATACTCGGGTACTTCTGAAATGGAAATATTGTCATATGGCCTGATGCCTTTTTGCACAAGTGTTGCTTTCACCCTCTCCGCAATTTCCATGGCCATAAGGTTATCCGGCTCCCCCTGCAGTACTCTTCTAATATCTCTCAATGCCAAGTCAAGCTTATCCAATGCCTCATAACACCTGGCTCTCTTCAGAAGCGCCTTGATATAATTTGGGGAAACTTCAAGAGCCAAATTGCACTCGTGTATTGCCTGCGGATATTCACTCAACCCTATCTGCATATAACAAGCTGCCATATTACTACGGAGATGGCAGACGTCTATGTGGTTCCCTGGAAGCAGCTTTATAGCTTTGCCATACATAAACATCGCCCCTTCGTAATCCCTGTTTTGAAACAACCTGTTTCCCCCCTCCTTCAGTTCCCGGGACATTGACATGAACACAACCATATCTTCATCGTACACCCCTGCTCTTCCCTTCACATTACCTTGGTTTTTCTTCACATCGAATCTTCCAGATTTAACTCCCTCTCTCTGTTTTTTCTTTTTTCCACTTTGCTTTCCCATGCTTAAACCCCAAGATTCAAACTTTTAGGAGAGCTTAATTTTCAAACAAATTTTATTAACTGAATCCAATGTTAATCCTCTTCAATACCAAAGTAATTGAACAAATGGATGAAATACAAGAAACTCACTGTACCAAATCCAAAGCATTACTGAAACGCAGACAGCGAGAGTAGTTCTTGAATGACAAAGAAAGATGACTTACATGACAAGATAGAACCTTCTACCACCCTCCTTAATAAATAACTAAAAAGCCTTTTTCCTTGAATCTTGAATATACTGCAGAGCACAAGAATGCCGCAGCTCAATACTAAGAAACATCTTCCTTAACTTTACCTCTCTCTTTCTCTTTGCTTGAGGTGCTCTCTTCCCTTCAGGATTTGTTGCAGCTCTATACAAATCCAATTTGAGGTACAAGGAAAAAAAATGGAGCCTAGAGTTTTTTTTTGCCTTTTTCTTGTTTTTTCTTTTATATGGAGTGAAGCTCAATCTAAGTATAAAGAAAAGAAAGATTCATTCTTATTGACTATTGAAATGCAGAGTTTCCTAGAGAGCAATCTGTGCAGAAATGGTAGGAAAAGGGGTTGAAAATAATATCCAATTGTTCGAGAAAGGGAGTTCCATTATGTTTCTTTTTTAATTAAAAAATAAGATTCAAAAATTATGTGAAATACTCCCTTTGTCACATAAAATAGTTCCCGCATTAATTTGGATCAGAGTTTAAGAAGGTGAGAATAAAGTGGAAATATATGATTGTGTATGAGTAAGAAAAATGTAAACGAACGTGAGCTACAAAAAGAAAAAGGAAATAAGAATTATTTTTTGGGACGACCCAAAAAAGTGAGAACTATTTTAGGAATATCAAATTACACATTTAAACTTTAACTACACATTTCGAGTATTCAGGAGTCAAGAGTCAAGACTCAATGACCAAGATTACCGGAGTACTCAGGTACTCCGTATAATCTTACAAGTGAATTCATTGAATAGACCAGTACATTGAGAATGAGGTTAATCATCGGTTTGGTAAATTCTCTCTTCAGCTTATGGATTTTATCAGCAGATCTTTTATAAAATGTTTAACTTTTGATCTAATAATCAAAATAGATAAGGTTGAAGTCACTGTTGTGATTGATTTGAAAAAATTTGTGAAAGATGATCATTTAGCTATTTTTATATAATTCCTTTTTTTATTTTGTTGATAAAGTATATTTTAATTTTTCTCCATGCTTCAAAAAATTCAACCAATTCAATCACTTTGATAAGTATTTCACAAATTTCAACAGATTCAACCCATTTTCAGCGTTATCCAATAAGCTCTATTTTATTTCTGAAAATGAGAATATACGTACTTATTGTATAAATATTAAAGCATGATGAAAATTGTATGAGAAGTACTTATATGGTGATTGTTAGATATATACTACCTTCGTACCTGCTTAAGTTTTTCATTAAAAAATGGTAATTGTTAGATAATAATTAGATAATGATATTCGAGTATATTTTGAAAAGTTGTTTTGATCGATAAAAATATATAATGATGTCATAGATGATAATCGTGATGTTATATGTGTTTTATTTTTAATATTTCATAGTTAAGTTGTCATTTAATAGTGCTAATTATTTTTTAAAATAGAAATTAGAAGCTTTAGCTGAGATGTCTAAATGGATGAAGTACTAAATAATACTCCCTATGTCTCACAATAATTTTATACAGACTATTATTTAGTGATAATTATAATGTCTACTAAAACGACTGTTCTATGCATTACTTTTTACTATCATTTTCATTATGCTTTATAATTTATTTTTAGGGAAAACTATCAAATAGGTCCTCCTACTATTGCAAAAACGTCAATTAGGTCCTCGTACCTCAAAATCAATCAATTGAATCCTTAAACTTTTACTCCCTCCGTCCCATTTTGATTGTCTTACTTTCCTTTTTGAGTTGTCCCAAAATGAATGTCATGTTTCCCTTTTTGGTAAGAAATATGTGGTCCATATCATTTTACTTTACTCTACTAAAATCTCAACCACAACTTTTACTTTTCAACCACTTTATTAATAACCGTGCCAAACTAAAAGAAGACATCCATTATGGGACAGAGGTAGTAATAAAAATCAATTGAGTTATTTAGGTTGTAAACAATCGGTTTTCCGGTTGAATGCTGATGTGGATTGCCTATGTTTTTTTTATTGTTTTCTAATTTCTTACATTCTATGTTGTTTTTACCTTTTCTTTTTTCTTTTCTCTTCCATGCAGCTTTCTCCTTCCGTCTCTTTGTTCGTCTCCACCATTTTCTCATTTGTGGAGCTCACCATTTCAGCGTCTGCGAAGAAGATGACCTGTAGCAGTAAGGAGGAGTTTGAGCAAGAAGAAAGAGAGATGATGCCTCTAGCCCAGCCGTTGTTGCTCGATGATGGGCGAAGGAGAAGCATGCCTGAATTAGGAATGACAAGAGGGCGTATCGGGGACGGGTACACATAAAATCGAAACCGCCCCATCACCCTTTCGGGTAATTTTTATTTGAACCGTACCCGCCCCAACGGGGAATCGGTTTATCTACGGGTAATTGTTTACCCAAATGATACTAAATAACCAATTTCTAATCTTACTTGTTGTTAACAAGTTGTTAATGTAAACATCTTTTGTCGTAAATTATATGTTCAAAACACCATAAAACATACAAAAATAAATATTCAAGCAATCAAACAGTTTTAGTCCTAAATTAACAAGCACCCTATATGTCTTGTAACATACTACGTAATAAAAAAAAGTATTAATCATCCCAAAATCTAAATTCAAAAAACAGGTTTAGGCCAAAATTTAGTTTTAGGTAAAAAAAAATAGTAATCCTTCCGCAAAAAAACAATTTAGGCCTAAATTCATTACACCTCAAATTAACTTTGACTTAGGGATGTTAGGTTTTTGAAGTGAACCTCGGGTGTATTATTCTTTATTATATAATTATATGATATTATATAATTATATGATATATACGATTTAGTGTACACAATTTAGCATATATATACTTATCATTCTTATATATAAAGATAAAGACTTAATTTGTTAATAATGTTACGGATGGATAACGGTGCGGGTGCGGCCATGCGGGTACCTACACCATTAGTGAACGGGGCGGTTTCAGGGCGGATAACGGAGCGGATTAGTGTAGAACCATAACCGCACCATTATCTATTTAAAAAAATCGGGTATTCCCCGCCTCCGTACCCGTTCTCCAATCAAACCTGTTCCATTTTAAACAAATTGGTTCGGTGCCGGAATTCTCACCCCTGAATCCCTACGATTTTCTACAAAGATTCATTTGGTTTGGACCTTGAGGGAGTTGCCACGAAGTTAAAAACGTCAATGAGTTATATGGAAGAAGATTTAAATGGAAACTATCCTCCGGTAGATCTGTGAAGATTCCTCCGAGGGTTGATGAAAAGGGCGAAGAAGATTCTCGTTCCAGAAGGGATACGGGAACAGGGAGGGTGGGGGAGATCGAGGACGGCAAGCGGCTGTGAAGAAGCTTGCTCGTCTTTTCCAGCCAGTTCGGTTTGTAGCTATGTACGTTTTTCTTGACTTGACAGATTCATCCACACTTGAGAGGAGAATCAAATACGTCCCCACATCTCCAGGGAGAAGAAGTCGCTGAGTGCAGAAGAGGACTGGTCGCTGGGTAGAAGGTGAACAACCGAACAGGCCAACAATAGAAAGGAAAAAAAGTGAAAAGGAAAGAGGACAATAGAAAAAAATTGAAAACATTAAAAAAAAAGATAATTTATCAACTAAAAATGTTTGTAAATTCCAAAATGGGACTGCCATGTTTTTAATTCTCAAAATGGGACTAATTACTGTCATGTTTTGGTAGTACCAGACTTTAAACATCGCGGTATTTTCCAAATTTGACAGTAATTAATCCTATTTTGGGAATAAAAACATGACAGTCCTATTTTGGAATTTACAAACGTTTTTGGTCCCATTTCAGGAACTTTCCCTTTTTTAAGGGAAAGTTCAGGTCAATGTTCAACTGGAAAACCGACTGTTTACTGCCTAAGAGCATCTCCAATGCTAAAACATGAACGGTGTATACGTGGCATGAAAGATATCCAATTAAAAAATAGTAAATAGAATATCCTTCTCCTTATTTGAAGGATCTTGTATCATTTTGGTAAGTATTTCTTCACAATGTCAAGCACAATGTCTAGATGTAGACATTGTGCTTGACATTGAAAAAGAAAACTTACCAAAAAACAAATAAAATCGTGTAAATAATGAGAGAGAAATGTCATAAATTCAATTTTTTGTGTCTATCTCTCTCATGCCACATGTGCACCGTGCACATTGTAGCATTGGAGATGCTCTAAGTAGCTCAATTGGGTATTTATTAAAACTTTAAGGATTCAATTGATTGATTGTAAAGTACAAGGACCTAATTGACGTTTTTGCTATAGTCGGATGACATATTTGACAATTTTCTCTTTACAAATGTATAAATAGAAATAATTACATGTTTATGACTAAAATAAACATTGTTTACAAAATTGTGACTAATGACTATAGTAGTAATGGAATCATAGTAACTTATGTTTATTTTTTAAACTTAAGTTACTATGACATTACATTATAGTAACTATTAGTCATATTTTTGTAAACATGTTTTATGAGAAGAGTTGCTTTTTGGAGAGCACAATACGATGAAAGTTGTAAGCTATGTTCGGGGGGGGGGGGGGGGGGGGGGGAGGGAGGGGGAGTATTGTCTATCCTTGCCTCAATTTGCGTGAATCTATAAGATTAATAATCAATAATATCAAATGAAACAAACAATTAGCGCGTTTCGAAACATATCTGGGTGGAATTCGATATATGACAGGCTTACCCGATATTGTAATCATTATTGATCAGCACAAAGAATATATATGGCCTTGCGAGAATGTATAACCTACATAAAAGTGGGCTAAACCGACTAATCTTGCTTGCACAATAGAAAGAGCCACCAGTTTATCTTTCAATCCCAAACCCTTTTAAATGTAGCGGATAGTAGCGGGGCTTGAAAATTGATGTGTATTCGAATAATAGGAGCTAGCAATCGTCGATATGCTTATTATATTGGGATAGGATTTGATAGGAATTCCCCCTTCAAAATCGGACGTGAATGTTTCCTTTCATCCGGCTCAACTAGGTAAGGCAGAAGGAAGCTTGACTGCAAGACCCACCCGTCGAGCAGGGGCGAAAATCGGCCTTAGTGATCTGACGGACAATTACCAATTTTTTGGTTGTTTTGTTAGAAGAGTCCTCATCCGTTTGGAATATTAACAAAGATAAAGAAGAAGGAAGAGAGGATAAGCTCAATCGTTGTTCCTTTACATTGTGCCTGATCAAATCGATCAGACACTAGTCATCTATTTTCATTGTTCAATTCTTTTACAACACAAGACCAAAACCTCTTCCTTTCCTACTCTACTAAGAGATGTATTTGCACCATGGTTGTCTTCAAATAAAGTATTTTCTACGGTAGCACCATGAATAGCACATAGCAATTCCTATACCCGTCATGCTTCTTGGATTATTTACAAGTGGTATTCAAGCTCTTATTTTTGCAACCCTAGCCGCGGCGTACCAGCTACCTTTTTCATGGCTTTAATTTGAGCTGCAGACCCCACTCGGGAAACAGAGATACCCACATTAATAGCAGGTCTTTATTCCAGCATTAAATAGATCGTTAGTAATAATTTTGAAAAATACTCTTATAAATATGTCTCATCAAGAGGTTAAAATATTTACTTTATAATAGGGTGCAGTTCAAATAAAAAGACACTTAACGTGAAAAACGTCAACATTTCACTTTTACTTCACTATACTTGAGGTTCATTACTACACTTTTTCAGGGTGACAAAAATGACCACTTATGTACGAAAGTGTCGCCATGTTGTAAAGTTAATCTTCTACATTGGTGACACTCTTAGAGCCATCGGATATGATATTCAGAGCACGAAAATTATTCCCATTTTACACATTTAGACTTCTTTCTTATTTGATCTAAATTCTTTTGCTTCATCCATTTCATCATATGCACTATAAGGACTACGACTAAATGGATAAATATAAGTAGAAATCAAGAAGTTAAATTTTTTCCGAAAAATAAAGAATGTATATATTAGAAATAATTACATAAATATGACCAAAATAAAGATGGTTTACAAAAATATGATTCATTACTAGAGTAGTAATGAAATCATAGTAATTCATGTTCAAGTTTTGAACTTTAGTTACCACAGTACTACGTTGTAGACTTGTAGTAATGAATAGTCATATTTATGTAAATAAGTTTTATTTTAGTAATATTCTCGTAAAAAACCCTATATATTACTCACACTAATTTCTATAATCAAAATAATAACATTATTTTTACTTAAAAAATATATTGTTAATAATTACCCTATAAATTTATTTTTACAAAAGGGTGTTATAAGAAAAAGGATACCTCCAACATCTGTTTTTTATAAATACTTTCAAAATATGGAAAACTCTACATTTTTATACTTTTAAATTGGAACATTTAATCTTTCTAAATTTATGTTGTTACGTCTCTTAATTAATTTTTGATTTTTAAGTTTCCAACGTTTTTGTAATTGTTTTATTTATTCCAAAATAAAACACTGTCATAAATAAAACTTAAAATACTCCAAAGTCCAAACTACTATTTTTATTCTCTAAATAGGAGTAATTATCGTCACAATATTGTCATGTTTGAAGTCTGATACTGCCAAAACCTGATAATAATTAGAAGTGCTTCAATACGGTATAACGAATATTTTCTCACACCTTTGCCGTACCAAAACTTTCGGTATAAAGAATTTATATTGTCTTACCTTACCGAAATTTCAATATACCACATTTCGATATACCGAAGTTTCATTCGGTAACAGTATGATATCGATAAATTACCATGCATGTCTCTCAACACAACAAATTATCGTTACTTACGAAATATACAAAATCGGTGTTGCTAACAACATATTTAAACCATTATTAAAATGTTACAAAATATAAACAATAACTTATTGATGTCATATTCAAGCAATTCAACATGAGACATTAAACAATAGCAATTCAACATGAGACATTTAACAATACTACGCAACACATTCTCCTAAAATAATTAACTTAAACGATACATGTATAATCAAATCAATAATGATCTCTAACAAAAAAATTATTCAAACAACATGGATACAAAATCATTTATCCCTAATATGAACTTATGAAGTGTATTTGGTATTTTTTTATAATTTTAATAAATATATGAATAGGACTTCCGGTATCACATTATACAGATATACCTTTTATTTTCAAACTATACACAAATACCATACCAAAGAAATTTGGTACGATACTACACCATATTGAAAATGTCGGTACACCTAAATCTTTAATAAATCCAGTATTTTTTGATATGGTAAATGCGGTATACCGAAATTTCAGTATTTTCCCTCAGCCCTAATAATAATTACTCTTATTTAGGGAATAAAAACATGATAGTCCTATTTTGGAATAAACAAACATTTTTAGTCCATAACTATCATGAACCATTTACAATCACGAACCATTTTGCATGGTCCGTCAGAACCCTCCCCAATTTTTTCACCTCAAAGACCTGTTCCAAATCACACCTCAAAGCAATTGCCCAAAAGAGTACAAAACAAATTGTGGGCTGAGCGACACTGGTATCCACCGCTGTGGTTAGGAATGTCATACGACACTTCATAATGAGTTACGGAAGGCGAAATATATCAAACTTTGAGAGGGGTCAGCTAACCATCTTGACCCCTTGACTCTGCCCCTGCCTATTGTGACACTTTGCATGACTGATGAGTAAAATTATGAAATATATGGACAGGTGGATGCATTCAGGTTGAAGATCTGAGCGAAGTCAGATACTGGGTGATTGCTTCCCCTTCTTTCGTAAGCTCAAGGTCGTAGTCAGAGTAGGCATCTCCATTTAACAGTTCATCAGTTAGCTCATTCTCCATTTCCACATCACGTTTCTCATATACTCCTTCAATATCGCTTGGACCTCCAAAAGCATTCTCACCTACAACTGCATTGCTACCTGATGCATGTGCACCAGCATCCCCAAGATTACCCCCACCGTCCCTGTTCAAATTCTCACCTTGACCTGACAGAAATGAAGCACCTTCATTGCCAACTGTTGAAGCACTGTTCATCGATGATGGCCCAAGTAGATGATTTAATGCTGCTTCTCTTGTCCCAAATTTGCGGACAGCTGCGGTCACTGAATTACACTTGTTGTGTTATAATAAATAGGTAAATAAATAAAGCACCACCTTTTCCACAAACTAAATTTGTTTTATAGTAAATTTGTTTTCCACAAACTATTATAGCTTCATATTCCTACCAGGTTTAGTTCCATTCCATTATTTTATCTATTGAGAACCATATCCATATTACTTGGATAATTCCCAATATAGGAGTAAAACATGATGAAAAGGCAAAACTAGGAGTAGTTTAAAATTCCTAAAACAGGAGTTTCTTTTGTGTTTAGACAAGAATACCCCTGCAGGTATTAGCCTTGCCACTGCCCATTGCTACAGTTCTGCCACCGCTGTCTTCCACCGCCGGAGCTCCGAAGAATTCCAGATTTGCCCCACCACCAACGGACTGACCCGGTTTCCCAAGGGAACTAGAGGGGGCAATTAATTTTACTTCGAATTAATAAATTAGATTAGGAATATTAGGGTAGAAAATGTTTATTCCCATTTTAGGGAAGATTAGAGGTGGACTGCTATTTAGGGAAATGTTCCATGTTTTACTCCTATTAAGGTCAATTACTTTACTACTTACAGATAAAGTTAGCATTGATATAGTGCTAGATTAAAAAAACCTGTTTCTCTTGGGAAGCCCATGGCAGCAAGCTGTTCAATTGTAGCATTCTCTACTTGGCGCAACCTTCTCTTTTTGTTTAACGCAATGTGATGCTGGATATATATATATATATATATATATATATATATATATGCATAAACACATACATGTGTAAAGGAAAATGTTTTAGCTTTTACAGAGGCATGCAGTGCTATTCATGCCAATTCTAGATGCACAATGATATTACAAGAGTCAAGAGGTATGTTTTTACCTGAATAGCAGAATTAGTTTCTGGATTGGTCAGGTCATCTAGGGCCTTCTGTGTGTCATTTTCATTTCGGCGAAGAGCCTCTGCAGCAATCTCTTTCAAAAACCTACAGGGGGAAAACAATGATATGATGCATAGTGATGCTTGAACTCTCAATTACTATTTTTACCTTTTATACGATAACCAAAATATTTGAATATGTTTAGGAATGTACACAATCTTGGGTCCCTCTTCAACTTATTAGTATACATTATTCCTTCCCGGGAACATACACTGATATATCAATGAATAAATATAATAAGTTCTAAAAATAGAAATTAAGCCACTCCAAATCACATAGTTACCCGATTGAAACCAATTCATTCAGATATTGGAGATTCACAGCTTTTTTTAGAGCAGTCATTCCATAACGCCTTTGCTCCCTGAAATGCACGGCACACAAAGCTTAGAATCCCAGACTTGACAAACAAAATCTAAAAATAATGCAGGGTCACTGAAATTATTATATTAACCCACAAGAGTTCTCTTTGTCTGCTAAGATTCTCCTCTCGTTTCCTTGCTGCTTTCTCTCTCTCCTCAATAAGAAAATTAACAGCACTTTGAACATCTTGATTGTTCATCCGCAGTGCTTTCTTTGCATCTCTTTCTTTGTAGCCCATGCCCATAATTAATGACAAAGCTTCGTCTGGAATTTGTAGCTATTTGAAGAAAAATAAACTATTTTAATAGAAAGTAAAGATGGTAGAATCAAGAACAATGTGAAAGAATTAATGTATATAAGAATATGCTTTAGAAATATACTCTAGACATTATTATTGTATAGCATCTTATGTAGGAATATTCCTTCTTTGTAACCTATATATAGGGCCTTAACCCTCTCATATTATACACAGAAAATCTTTCCTCCTCTCTTCAATATTATATTTTGTAGTTTATATTTCAACATGGTATCAGAGCCTTCCATGTTAGTTTAGTTCTTTCCAGATTACAATTAATTTTCAGACTGGATTCTTCTTCAGTCTTCAGATTATTCAGAACCTTCAGACACCAGTCTGTCTCTAAATTCTTTCTTCAGGATTTCAGTTTTCAGATTCTTCAGAAACTCTAAATTTCCCAGAAAATCAATTAGCCTGAGCTAATTTCCCAGAAAATTCCTTCACATACAGTCTGCCCACCAGACCTCAGAAATTTTCAGACCACACATTTCATCACCACCGTACCCAGGTGGTGCGTCTACCTCCGACGACCCGGAAACAAAAGTCCGACACCCAAACTCTAAGCGAGTGATCCGCACGCGCCGCCACAGCACGGCGACCTCAACTCACGCGCCGGCGCGTGTTGTCTGTTCTGCGGCCAGATTTCCGATCGACAAACGCCGACCGGCTCGCCTGCATATCTCCCATCTGCTGCTGTCGCTTCTCATGGGATGGTTAGGATTCGTTCCAGCTCTTGAATAAGCTGATATCGGGAAGTGACGAACTGACGGTACCAGGCAGACGAGCTTCTTCCTTGACCGTACCAGGAACAGAGATCTGGCAGCACAAGCTTCATGACCGACCATTATTGACGAGGGTTTTGGTCTTCAGCCAGCTCGCACACTCTTCTGGTAAGGATATCTTCACTGAGCCTCTACTTATTGTGCGGACATGGATAGTACAGCACTCAAAGAATATTGAGGTTACATTCCTCTATTTTATTTTATTTTGCTTTAAAAAAAAGGCAAAAAAAAATGTTTTGTGCGGGTCAATTTGATCGGGGAGTTATATGCAATTACTGCAAGAAGCCTGGACACATAATCAAAGAATGTAGAAAATTGCTGTTCAAAAATCAAGGAAATCAGCTTGCTCATGTTGCTTCCGCTACCAGTTCATCCGATGGATCAATCGCTATTTCTTCGAGCGAGTATGCCAAATTTATTTGCTATCAAGAATCTCTAAAGCATTCATCTGTCCCTATCTCGGTAGTCGCTAATTCAGGTATTTCAAGCACATGTCTCGTTTCATCATCCTCGAAATGGGTCATTGACTCAGGTGCTACAGATCATATGACCGGTAATCCTAGTTTATTCTCATCATTTCATTCATATTTACCTACTTCTAGTGTCACTTTAGGTGACAGGTCTACCTCACCCGTCCTTGGATCCGGTACTGTTGTCCCAACATCTACATTACCATTATCACCTGTTTTGAGTCTTCCTAATTTTGCGTTTAATCTGCTTTCCATCAGTAAAATCACACGTACTCTTAATTGTTCTGTAACATTTTTTCCTGGATACTGTGTGTTTCAGGATCTGTTAACGAAGCAGACTATTGGTAAAGGACATGAGTCGGCTGATCTTTATATTTTGGATACATCAATAACAAAAGGTATCTCTTGTCTCGGGGTTGGAACTTTGTTAGAGGCTCATTACAGACTAGGACACCCATCTCTCACACTTATGAAACAGATATATCCTCAGTTTAATAAGGTGTCATCTATACAATGTGAGTCATGTGAATTTGCAAAACATCATCGCACTACTTTAAGTCCCCGACTTAATAAACGAGCCAATGCTCCGTTTGATCTTGTCCATACTGATGTTTGGGGGGCATGTCCGGTTGTGTCCAAATCTGGTTTCAAATATTTTGTTACTTTTGTTGACGATTATTCTCGTATGACATGGTTATATTTTATGAAGCGTCGATCCGAGTTATTTACTCATTTCTCTGCATTTTGTGCAGAAATTAAAACTCAATTTAATGTTCTTGTTCGTGTGTTAAGGGGAGACAATGCCCAAGAATATCTATCTGCTCCATTTATATCTTTTATGCTTCAACATGGCATTATTCATCAAACTTCATGCGTAGACACACCTCCTCAAAATGGAGTTGCTGAAAGAAAGAATCGACATCTGTTAGAAACTGCACGGGCTCTTCTATTCCAAATGAATGTGCCTAAACAATTTTGGGCTGATGCTGTGTCTACTTCATGTTTTTTGATCAATCGTATGCCATCTTCTGTTTTGGATGGTAAAACTCCTTATCAATGTCTTTTTCCAAATAAAGAACTTTTTTCCATTCCACCTAAAATCTTTGGTTGCACTTGTTTTGTTAGAAATGTTAACCCTCATCGCACGAAGTTGGATCCCAAATCATTGAAATGTATTTTCTTAGGTTATTCTCGAGTTCAAAAGGGGTATAGATGTTTTTGTCCGAGTACAGGTCGATATCTTGTTTCTATTGATGTCTCATTTCATGAAAATACACCTTGGTCATCATCCAAGACAGATATCCATGAGGACAACGATGAAATACTCATTTACACGGTTACTATACCTGAGACTACCCCTTCAGTAACTATACCGAATGTTCCTGTTCCTGACCCCAGACCTCCAGTACACTTGGTTTACACCCGTCGACACAAAGCACTAGATCACCATCCACCTGTGACACCTGTGATTACTTATCCTAATACTGGTCCGACTTCGATCTCATGTCCTGAACCAGTACCTGCATCTTCAGATCTTGTCTCTACATCAGATCTTGACTTCCTGATAGCACTACGTAAAGGTACACGTTCTTGTACTCATCCTATTTCTTCATTTGTGTCATATAGTCAGTTATCCTCTACCTCATATTCTTTTATTGCTTCCATTGATTCTATTTCTGTTCCCAAATCTGTTAAAGAAGCTTTGTCTCATCCTGAATGGCGTCATGCCATGGTAGAGGAAATGAATGCTTTGGATCTTAATGGTACTTGGGATTTGGTAGACTTGCCTACAGGGAAGAAGTCTATTGGATGTAAGTGGGTCTTTGCTGTTGAGGTTATCCCAGATGGATCTGTTGCTCGATTGAAAGCTCGTTTAGTTGTGAAGGGTTATGCTCAAACCTATGGTGTTGACTATTCTGACACTTTTTCTCCTGTTGCTAAATTAACATCTGTCAGGTTACTTATTTCACTTGCTGCAACTCATGGTTGGCACTTACATCAGTTAGACATTAAAAATGCATTCTTGCATGGTGACCTTCAGGAGGAAGTTTATATTGAGCAACCTCCGGGGTTTGTTGCTCAGGGGGAGTATGGGAAAGTTTGTCGACTTCGCAAGTCTCTTTATGGTCTGAAACAAAGTCCCCGTGCATGGTTTGGGAAATTCAGTCAATCCATTGAAAGGTTTGGAATGATAAAAGGACAATCAGATCACTCTGTCTTTTACAGACAAACAAAAGCAGGTATCACATTACTTGTGGTGTATGTTGATGATATTGTGATTACAGGGAGTGATAATGCAGGTATTTTGGCCCTTAAGAATTTTCTGCATAGTCAATTCCAGACGAAAGATCTTGGCTCATTGAAATATTTTTTGGGAATTGAGGTAACACGAAGTAAGAAAGGCATACTTCTATCTCAACGTAAATATGTACTTGACTTACTAGCCGAGACAGGGAAATTAGGGGCAAAACCAAGTACAACACCCATGGTTCCCAACATGCAACTCACTCAAGAAGGCACACCATTTGAAGACCCAGAAAGATATAGAAGATTGGTTGGAAAGCTCAATTATCTCGCAGTCACTCGTCTAGATATTGCATATTCTGTGAGTGTAGTGAGTCAATACATGTCATCTCTAACCATTGATCATTGGGCTGCTGTAGAACACATATTATGTTACTTAAAGGGTGCACCAGGACGAGGTATTGTTTACCAAAACCATGACCACATGAGAATAGAATGTTTTGCAGATGCTGATTGGGCCGGTTCTAAAGATGATCGAAGATCTACATCTGGTTATTGCGTCTTTGTTGGTGGTAATCTTGTATCTTGGAAGAGTAAGAAACAAAATGTGGTTTCTCGTTCGAGTGCTGAATCAGAATATCGAGCTATGGCACAATCTGCATGTGAGATCATATGGATAAGCCATTTATTGACTGAGCTCGGATTGAAGACATCAATGCCTGCTAAATTGTGGTGTGATAACCAAGCTGCTATACACATAGCAAACAATCCTGTATTTCATGAGAGAACAAAGCATATTGAAGTTGATTGTCATTTTATTCGAGAGAAGATACAAAAAGGTTTGATCTCTACCGGTTATGTGAAGACTGGAGAACAACTTGGAGATTTATTCACTAAGGCTCTAAATGGGATTCGCGTTGAGTACTTATGTAACAAGTTGGGCATGATAAATATCTATGCTCCAACTTGAGGGGGAGTGTGAAAGAATTAATGCATATAAGAATATGCTTTAGGAATATACTCTAGACATTATTATTGTATAGCATCTTATGTAGGAATATTCCTTCTTTGTAACCTATATATAGGGCCTTAACCCTCTCATATTATACACAGAAAATCTTTCCTCCTCTCTTCAATATTATATTTTGTAGTTTATATTTCAACAAACAACATGAATGAAGAAATCAAAGAGGAAACAACATAAATAGATGAATAACATAAAAGTAAAAGCTAAAATCGTATGATGCAGTAAAACATGAGAGTACTAGATCGCATATTCAGAAAAAATATATTGAAAAAGAATCGGTTAAAAAAAGATGGCAAGGAAAGAACAAAGGAGCATTGCTTGATTCAAAGAGTATTTTGGGCTGACCTGGATATATTTGGCTTGGGCTGAACTCAAAGACCGTCTAGATTTTTCTAACTGGCCACAGTGATATGCAACAACTCCTTCTAACAGCTCCATCCGTACATGTCTTGATGAGAGAATTAAATACATAGTAACAAACAACACTAAATCAAGACAAAATATGATTTCAAATCCCCTAAAGCCTGTTTTACTAGAGAGGCGCTATATGAATACTTAATTAATTGATAATATATGCATGAAGGAGACACTCACAGTGCAATCTCCGGATAGCGTCCACTTTGAAGAAGTCTGACACGACTAGCTTCCTTACCATGAGCACGCTCGAGACCTTCCCGAGCTTTTGCAAGGCGGGCCCCTGCATCCAAGAGCCACTTGATGTCTTGCAGCATGTAGTAACACCACACCAAGTCTATTTGTAGAATGGCTACATTATCAACCATCTGAAAGCAAAAGCCACAATAATGCATTACGTTTTTAAAGTAGCAACTTAAGGATAACTATATATTACTCCCTCCGTAATCTGCATCAAAATAATTGTCCCAGTTTCCTTTTCGGGTTGTATCAAATTAATTGTCCCATTTCCCTTTTTGGAAAGAAATTGACCCTAAAAGCAGCTACAGTACTGTAGAAAACCTCTTACTTTTTGTAAAATCTACAGCAATTATCTTAAAATACGTGAGAGAGCAAATGGGACAGTTATTTTGATACGGAGGGAGTATTAAACTAGAAATGAAGTTCAGTGTTCTATGTAACATATACATGCCAGGTAAAAGAAAAGACACAACTTCACAGCAAGAAAAACAAAAAATTTATAGATTAAAAGGAAGGCGGGCGTGATAAAAGATCTCAACCATTTCCACAAAAACACACATCAAGAGGATCATAAACTGTGGGTTGATGTAGGAAAATGAAACGATCGCTCACCTCAATAACCTTGGGATTGCAAAGAGCGAAGGCTTCCTGCAAAAGGATAAAGGCCATTTTATTATGCAATTTGGGAAAATAACTTGTAGAAAAACTAATGTGTCTAGGAACCAGAAACTGGAAGAGTAAGAGGCCACCGCAATGATGTAATATAACAGATGTTCAACAACACTACTAATATACTAAAAACAATTGAAGGCTAAACCTTTATCATATTAAAACCTAGAATACGGTAATGTTATTTTTTCTGCCAAGTTTAAACAGCATCAAACTCTACTTTAACCAAAACATGAGTACCCAAATAAGTCATTATAATAGTTAGTTCATGGGTGTATGCAAGAAACCCAATCATAATCCAAATCGAAGACATACAAGGCATTCAGCAATGATCTTAATTATGACAAGTTCCACATGCCCACCTCTCCCATTGTGAGAACCTCAAGTGCTTCTTTAAACTGTTGCTTTCGGATCAGTGCTTTCCCATTAGCATGTAGCATGAGACCCATCATAATAGCCCTGCCAAACAAGGTGGAAAGCCATCATGGAGTACAAGTATACAGAAAGGATAAGTATATTAAAGCTTCATCTGCAACATAAAATCTTATTGATACCTCTGATCAGTATCAGATCCAAGCTGCACTTTTTCTCCGCTCTGGTTTTCAAGTTCTATGTTGAAGTCTTCAACAGGTAATGAGCCCTCTGCATGTCTCTGGGACAATGAAGTAGCAGCAGCTCTGCAATTTAAGCAGTATTAATGAAGAGACCACAAAAACAGAGAAACTACCATACTTGGTCAAAATATAGTACTGATTGCCAGAAGAGGGAGAGAAAAGAGGGCTTATGAAATTTATAAAAAAAACTAATGGAAATAAGGGATGACTGATTGATTGCTGATACAAGAACAGGATAGTATACTATAGAGTATAAATTGAATTTCGGTAAGCATGATTCATATATTTTTAATTCTATAATCATTTCGTGTCTTACACTTTAAATTTCTTCGGTTTAGATTTGTGGAATTAATTATAACAAATGTTACAGATGAATGTCAGCAAGATTGTCAGTTCCTGTGGAAAACATACCAAGTGGCAACTTCAGGGCAATTTTCACCAAACTGGAAATAGCTATAATGCAATGTTCTTTACAGGATTAACTGCTATAAACGATACCTATGAATACCCACCCTAGATACAATCATACAAAAGAAAAAATATAGATCACTGAGGATGTGTTTGGTTGATAGTTCTCAGAAGGGATGAATGAGAGGATTTATTTTCGTTATACAAAATTTTATTTATTTACAAGTCTCAGAAACTTAGAGTAGAAAAGAGCAATATTTTTTAGTTAAATAATGTATCTCCACAAAAAAAATCATCTTCACTGTTTCAAAGTCATCTAAAAATAAATTAGCAAAATAATAAAGACCCATCCCTTTCCTTCCCCTTGAAAACCTTCCAACCAAACAGAGTCTTACAGAACAAAGAAAACAAGTATATGGATAGCTGTTGTAGCATTCTCGTTTCCCACCTTCTCCCCTTTTATCTTAAATGTAACTCGAGCAATAACTATACAATACAATGTATAAGAAATCTATCATGTAAATTCAGACAGGAAAAATATGGTGTTTGATCATGACACAAAATAAAACAGCTACAAGTAAACTTGCAACTTGAAGAGACCAACTTTCAACATTGATCATCCAATCCAATTCACACCACAGGACACTAAACATGCCGGGGAGGTAATAACCATTAAGCATATTGATAGACTATTTATAGCAGAGCAGTGAGCACTAACTTGAGCCTGGCAAGTCTAGACGAGCGTTCCTCTTCCGCCAAAGATTCCTCCTGGATGACCTTGCCTTTATCAGGAGAAACCTTAGAGGCCAAAATCTTAGCATGATTTTTTATACCCAATTGGCTGAGTTTCTCCGTGCCATCACCGTCTTTCAGCAATATTCCAGCAGAGATGAGGTTTATGCACTCCGGCGGAACGCAGCCCGATCTCCGGACGATCTCCTCCCTCAGCATAGCAATCGTCCACTCCTCCGGTTCTATCTCCAGCACACCACTCCATGCCCCTGCAATCTTTAGCTTTGCCATACCCATACTCGTCAGACACACTTTCGGTCATGCGCTCCTTCGTGTCTTAACTCTTAAGCAGTGGCGGAGGGCCACAAGTAAAGTAAAAAGATGCGGAGCACTGTGATTAGGGATGGATGGAAGTTCATATATAGAACCATTATTTTCGTCTTATCCGTGTTTTTTGAAAGGGGTAATTTGAGTTTGCACCCCATATACTTGTCTAAATTGGATTTTGCATTCTGTTTTTAAAACTCTTTGTTATTGCACCCCAACCCCATATGAAAAGATAAAAATGCCCCTCCATTAACAATTATGTTGACCTTTAACATATTCCTGATTGAGGACATTTTTTTCTTTTCATATGGGGTTGGGGTGCAAAAACAAAGAGTTATAAAAACGGGGTGCAAAGTCCAATTTAGACAATAATATGGGGTGCAAACTCAAATTACCCCTTTTGGAAAAACAAATTTAAATAATACTACCTCCATCTCATTAAGATTGAGACGAGAGGTGACACAATTATTAAGAATATGTGGTTGATATTAAATTGATAAAGTAAGAATAAAGATAGAAGGGAAAAGGAACATGAATCCCCCTACACTATATGTGTGGGAACATATATACCCCTAATTTATTTTTTAGAACAAAAAACTTATTAAACTAAAAGAAGGGTACAAATCAACACCCATTGACGTTTAGAACTTCTCCGTCAGGTTCACACTAACCCAAAAGCACACACCCTTTGCAGAGGGAGGAAGATGAAACCTGTGTAACTTACTAGATTCTCACCCGTGCGATGCACGGGACAAAATAAAATAAATTTGTACGGAGTATCATATTATTAACAAAAGGGGGCGACACGATTATTAACAAATAAGTTTATGTGGTTGATATTAATTGATAAAGTATAAAATAAAGTAAAAATGATTTAGAGTGACACAAAACTTTACCAAATCTGGTGTGAGACAATTTTAGTGGGATTTCACGAAAAGATAAAATGGAACAATATTAGCGGGCCGGAAGGAGTATTTGTTAATCATATTAGCCAATGAAAGTTATATGTAAATAAAATGAGTAATTGCCATAAAAGATAACACGGAATAAGAAGTAATACAGAGTAAGTATATACGCAGTAATTAAAAGTTGAAGTAGAAATTGATAGACCTTCAATGCTTGTAGACAATCTTTGAATAAGATAAACTGAATATTACAATGAGCTTATAAAGTCTACACATTTTGAGACATTTTTTTTGTAAATACATTATGTTTTTACTTTGACTGAAATTTTCTGACATGATCTGTTCTAGTATGAACTGGTCTGATTTGATAAATATCTGATTTCTATGTATTTTATAACTATCCATGCTTAGTCAATCCGAACCGATATAGAACTGAAAACAGTTCAAGGGAAAACATCCTAATATCGTGTGGTATATTTATTTGTCATTCCCAAGTAAAATATCCTTATCATACCATATACGGAGTATTTTGTTTGAGAGGATCATTTGTTAAACTTTCATATTTTAATCATGTTTAGGTTTACTTTTAACACAATTTTTCTTTATCTGTTGAAAATAGTTGTTGGATGTCATATTTTATCGTTTTTATTTCTGAATTTGAGAATGAAATCATATTTTTGTCAACAATATAAATAATAATACGGAGTAACAATAATAATCACTATGTTGCTTTGAATATTGATTATATTTAAGATGTTTTTATTTGAAATGAAATTTTCTGATCTGTCCTGGAGTGTTTTGGTCTAAATTGGTAAATGTCTGATCACTGTGTATTTTATATTCTTCAAAGTTTGGTCAAATATGATCTAGTCTAGTCTGATCTAGGACTGAAAATAGTCAAAATAAAAACATCATTAATGAGTTCAGGAAACTTTCCAAGATCTTTTAAACAATTAAAGCATTATCATCATTATTATTATTATTATTATTATTATAAACAACAACTTAAATACTCCATAATTACAATTTAAAACTGAAACGTGAAATAAAAAACAATTAAAATAATAAACTCCTTAGAGCATCTTCAATGGTACAATGTGCACGGTGCACACGTGGCATGAGAGATGACCACATAAATATTAGTAAATAAATTATTTCTCTCCTTATTTGAATGATTTTATACAGTTTTGGTAAGTTTTTCTCCACAATGTCAAGGAGACCGTCTAATGTTGACATTGTTGTTGACATTGCAGGGAAAAACTTACCAAAATTGTATAAAATCATTCAAATAAGGAGAGAAATAATTTATTTGCTAATAATTATGTGGCTATCACTCATGCCACATGTGCACCGTGGACATTATAGCATTGGAGATGCTCTTAGTCCTTAGTACGGAGTAATAATAAACCATCTTTCTACACAACCAAAACCGTTTTATTTTGTCAGCCCATATGTAAAGCCCAACCCAACTAACAATTCAACCTACCCAAAAGCTAAAACCTAACTACACCATATATAACATTGTGTTGCATCAGCCTCCTCATCCATTCATCCGTACACCCCCATTCGCTTTAGCCCGCCAGGCCGCCAACCTCTCGGAAATCTTTATGCCGATTATTGTCACTATCCAGATGATCCTTCCAATGCTTTGTAACTATGATCCATATACGATTATTAACACCTTATCTGGCTATTTCGCTGGTTGATTTTTTTGTAAGTAGCTTAACTCCTTATATGAACCTTTATCTGACTATTCCGAATTTCATGGTGGCTGAGAACAAATCGAATGATCTCATACATGCTGTTATCCTCTCTTCATTTGGGTATTTTTTTTTTCATTTATATCTTCAATTTTGAATTTTTTTCGCATGCTTAACACACACTCGCTCAATTTTTGTTTTTCGTCAAAATCTTCGTTTAGGATATCAAAAATTATTTTCTCTTCTTGTGATAAAGTTGAAGCACTAAATAATAATTGAGAATTTCACACACAGATATATACACACACACACATAATAGAAATCATAAGAATCGTTTCAGCCTTAGTCATGCTCATGCAAATCTGTTTTCTTCTTACTCTAAACTTTAACATACTTAAAAAATGGTTTCAAAAGTTAATTTGGCCTCTGTTTTTAGGAACTCTTCTAATGCAAACTCATATTCGGATTTATTTGTAAATGTTTTTATTTTTTGTGCTTTATTTGATTCATTTTTTTTTGGGTAAGTATGGCATATATGCATACCATAAATTACATCACCATACTATCATGTCAAACCAATGACATAAGCAATACGGAGTACAAAAATGTCATACACATAGATTGTGTATCTCATATGCTTGTGGATAAGATCTGTAAAATTATACAGAGCATGCTTCTAAACTATAACCCTTTATAAAGCCACACTCTATCTGATTTTCAAGTAATATTTTTTATATACACTGGGTAAAACGTAAATTTCAAAAATGCAAGTGCAATGTGCAAGCCACACTCTATTTATACTTCTATACACTTTTAACGAAATATTTTCTGTATATAAATATTATATACTCCGTATTATTTATATTATATTTAATCATTTGAATTATTTTGATAATCAATATGTATATGGACCACACTTTCATATATACTTATATAAATAATCTGTGTTTACATATTTATGAACATGTCTTCACATTACATGCATTATGGAATACTTTTTTCCAAAAAAGAAACTTTTCAGTGGTAATACATGTAAGAGGATGAATGCAGCTGGATCGGGTAGGGATATGGTGTGGTTTTCACAGTTTGGTAGTACAAAAGTACAAAACATTCAATAGTTATTTGATATTTTTACTCTACTTCAGAGATATCCTCATTCGAAATGAAGTGTTTAGAGTTTGGAGTAATAAGGACAATGTACATTGTTCATAGTACAATGCATTTAATGCTATTAGATATTAAATCAATTGTTTTTTTTAAAGTTCGAATTCCATTATTACAGAAAAAGGTTTTCATGTACAATTCATTAAATGCCAGTCTTGAGCCACGCAATATGAACTGTTACGCCCTGGTGTATTGAGCTACAAAGCCTGAAGATATCAATAATTGAGCTCCTTTTGTACTATGCATTAATTGCATTTTATGGAGCCCCATTTTTGCATTAAATGTTGGTTGATGTGCCCCATAGACCAATAGTAGCACAGTTGGACCACATAGCTTCAGACCCACTTCTGACCCACTTCTGACCTGACCCGACCCGACCAGGAGTTAAGCTGTGTTTGGGTGGAAACACTGTTGAGGAATTGTCCTGCTTTTTTATAATAAAAAATAAAAGATATGAGACATCAACTTTTGAGTTAGATATCATTCAAGATATCCCTCACACCTTTCCTTCACATGTAATCTTTCAACAGAGGCATGAACCTGGATAGAGGTCTCTTTACAATGTTCTTGAAGCATACTCTAAATGACAGAGATGTTGAATATGTGCAGGTACATACTCTATTGATTAAAAGAAGGTTAATCTTGTTCTTTTGGATCGCATGATATTTGCATCACACCATATTGCACAGTATGGGGTTTGTTGCATGTCTTCTGCTTCTTTACATAAGCGAAGATGATGCATTTTGGTTATTGGCTGCTTTGTCATATACTTTCTAACTACAAAAGGGATTATTCCATTATATTTGGACGAAAAAGACATCGTTCACACTTTAGGAGGTATCCTCGATGACTACTGAAGCATGCTTCAAAAGTTGCATGTACACTTAGACAGAACATTTTGTAATATTGTAATTGATATTTTCATGTTCTGGAATCTAATTCTCCATAATTCTTGCAGGTTTCACTGGCTAAGCAAGATGTTTTTTCTTATTTTTAGTTATTAGGTTATCGTATAGAAAATGTATAAATAATAGGTTTTTGTACCCTATTAAAGATGCCAATTATGTAATATTCATGAGCAAAATGTAATTATTAATTAGATTAAAATATATAGGATATGCAGGTTTGAAGATTGCGCAGTTTCAAAGCAGGTATGAATCCGAACTAATAATGTAGTTATTTGGTTCTTTCAGTAACCTTGTTTTGATAACAAAAATGTGAATATTTTGGGCTAATCGTATGATAATTTATGGAATAAACATGTTTTTATTCCTGAAATATTATACACACACTTATTACACTGAACTAAGTGAGTATAATAAAACCCTTACTT